GAACGTACCAGACCGTATCCCTTTATGGATGACTTGGCTTGTGTTGAATTCATGAATTCAGGGCGGGATAGCACATCCCCCCACTTCCCACCGAGGAGTCATACTAACAGATATACCCATAGCTCCCTGCCTACCAATTAAAGTCCATCCTTTCATCCGGACTACTCATGCGTTAGGTCCTCTCCAGACCGGTGCATCACAATAATATCCCGTCTTATGTTTCTCTTTCTCTGTTTCTCTCTCTCTCTCTTACTCTTGCAGCAGATTTCTCTTTATTATTTCTTTTTTTCCGACAATTCGTTTTCTTCTTTCCCCTCCTTGCTATCTGCATTATGATATTTGCACGTATTCTACCTACCTTCCTGTGTAAATCGTTTCTGTCCTCACCAAACCTTCTACACTCGAATACTTAGTGCTAGGCCGTGTCAACCACTCCACAGTCTGTGCATTCTCCATCCAAAACCTTCTCTATCCTTTCTAGGTAGGCCCTGAAGAAGCCCTGAAAGATGTTTGGAATTAATACCTTCGTCCAAGCCGCCCTATACTCGTTTGCTCATTCTTCCTGCCACTCCGTTATGCTTCTATTCCTAGTTACTATTTTCTCCTTCTCATCCTTTCCGTAGGTTTTAGAGTAGACCACTTCAATTACGTGGCACTCCACGTGGTTCTCATAGAGAACATCCCCTCGCAATGTTGATGCATCTATTTGTGAAGTAGTTCCTGACCAAGTTCTGCAGATAGGGAGATATACCCAAGTCGCCTCGTACTCTGATAACAATTTTCCAGATAGCAATATTAAAAACATTTTTTTCGTCACTTTTTCTTGTAAATTCAGTCACCGGTGTCTTCAACTGGGGTGACGTAAATATTTCTTTCTCTGTGGAAAAATAGTCGTGGCGAGTTCTTTCCTTAGCAGGGATGTAATGGGATAGTGAAATGCAACATAGAGCCACTCAGAGACATTATTGATTATGGTAATCGGAGACCAAAATCCGGCAGTGGAGGATAACAATCAGAACGCAAGGCCTTCTCGGTCGTAAACGTGCGAAACCCTTGCACAAAAAACCAAAAAAAAATTCTCAACCCTCTCAGATAAAAATAGCTACCTGCAAAGGTAAGAAGTATGTATCAGTCGGGAAAACTTCATAATGTTATTAAAGAGAAAGAGAGGCTAAATATAGATATACTTGAGGTTAGCGATATACAATGGTCAGGAAATGGAGAGATATCAATAAATAACCACAATATTTATTACACTGGAGGAGACAAAAGTGATCATCGATACGGAGAAGCTTTCATCATAAGCAACACTATTAGAAAATCAGTGCTAGGTGTGATCCAAATCTCAGAAAGAATAATAATGCTAAAAATTCAAGTACGGAACTGTAATATTTATATGATCCAACCATATGCTTCCACAGCTGATAAGACCGAAGATGAAATCGAAAATTTTTATTCAGAATTGTACAATACAATCAAGTTAATAAAATCTAGAGATATTACTTACATTTTAGGAGACTTTAATGAAAAAATTGGAGAAGGTACAGTTGAAAATATAGTTGGACAGTTTGTATTAGGAACTAGAAACGAGAGAGGAGAAAGGCTCATAGAATGCTGCCAAGAAAAGAATATGGTAATTGCCAATACTTGGTTTTAGCTTCCTAAGAGAAGACTATATACATGGACGTCTACTTCACATACAGAAAACCACATTGTCAGAAACCAGATAGACTTTATACTCGTAAATAGCAGATATAAAACCTATAACCTCAGTTCAAACTTATTCTGGAGCAGATGCTAACTCAGACCACAATCCGTTAGTTGCTGACGTGAAAATAAAATTAAAAGATTTGAACTCAGAAAACAACAACCAAAAATTAATGTAATAATGCTAAAAAAACGAAGAAATAAAAAACGAATTAAAAAATAATGTGTGTTAATATGCAAAAAACACTAACTGACAATAAACAAATTATGTATGGTACAAATAGTACAAAAGTGGTATAATATAAAAAACACACTACTGAAACCAGCTCAAGAAAATTTGATACAACATAGGTCAGAGGCTAAAAAACAGTGGATTACAGAAGAAATACTATTACACACTATACTATTTACAAAGAAATACAACGAAGAATTAAGGAAAAAATCAAAACAGCTGAGGAAATCTATTTCATAAAACAAGGTAAAGACATAGAAGAACTAGAAACAAAATATGATATGAGAAATATGCACAAAAAAATAAGAGAAGTGACTGGAATGAGTCGAAATAGACACCAAGGACACATAAAAGAGAAAAAAGGAGTACTACTAATAGATTTACCAGGGAAATTAAGACGATGGGAGGAGTACATTAGAGAACTTTTCCAATATGAAAAAGGTAAAATGCAGAAAATACAAAAATTAAATCCTTTAGAGAGACAGAAGATCACGATAGATGAAATTAAATATGCTCTCAAAAACTCTAAAGACAATAAGGCAGCTGGATTAAATGAAATACCAGAAGAACTGTTAAAACTAGTGGAAGAGGATAACTTGGAAGTATTGGCAGATTTATTCAACTACGGTCTACGATACGGGAATAATACCACAAGAGTGGCTGAAGTCCAGCATTTATAACCATCCCTAAAAAACAAGCAGCAAAAGACTGCTCTGATTATCGAACACTGAGCCTCATGAGTCATACTTTAAAAGTACTGCTGAAAGTAATACATTAGAGCATATACGAAAGACTAGAGAAGGATATTAGCAAGACGAAGTTCGGGTTCCGAAATGGAATGGGTACTCGAGAAGGACTATTTGCCATCAACATATTAATTCAGCGATGTCAAGATGTAAACGTTAATCTACACTTATGCTTTTTTGATTACGAAAAAGCTTTCGATAGAGTAAGACATGAAAAATTAATATCAATACTTATGAACAAGCGCATTAATAGTAAAATCATAAATATAGTGCAAACATTATATTGGAACCAAAGTGCCATTGTTCAAATTAATGAGCAATACTCAGAAGAAATAAAGATCTGTAGAGGAGTTAGACAGGGATATGTTTTATCGCCACTTTTGTTTAACTTATATTCTGAAGAAATTTTTCAAAACACGCTCAATAATATCAAAGAGGGAGTTACCGTTAACAGAAAATTAATTAACAACTTATATGCGATATGCAGACGACACTGTGATCATAGCAACAAGTATAGAAAATCTATAATATATTATCGAATGCTTAAGTATGAATCAGACTACGTACCATTCGCTGTTGACTTAAAAAAAAATGCAATTTCAAAAGAATCGAGGCTTTAGAACTCTGGTTATGCCGCAGAGTATTAAAAATATCATGGAGTGATAGAATTGCAAATAAAGAAGTACTGGAGAGGGTTGGTAAAGAAACAGAACTAATCACCACTATAGAAACCAGAAAACTGGAATACCTAGGCCACGTGAAGAGGGGACCAAAATATGAAATTTTGAGACTCATAATACAGGGAAAGATTCAAGGAAGAAGATCTGCTGGCCGAAGACAGAACTCATGGTTGAAGAATCTATGTGATTTGGAGCAATGCAGATCGACTTATTTGCTTAGAGCAGCAAGTAGGGAGACAGCACTCTAAGAAGTTCTTTCCTCCGACTCTCCTCGATCTTAAAGAAGGCCCCATTGACTTACTGACTTTCAGTCAGTCTGCAAGTCGGCAGAGCCATCAAGGCTTGATCTCATACTTATTCTATCTCTGAGTAACATAGGTACTTATCAAACACACTCTCCAGCTGGCCATTCATCATCACAACATTATAATGGTATAAAACTATTATTACCAACAATGAACAAAATAATAACTAATAAATTGAACATTTTTTAATGAAAACCGGATAAAAGTCCACCCCCTCATCCGGACTGCTCATGCAGTAGGTCCTCTCCAGACCGGTGCATCACATGAATCTTCACTTGAAGACTTTACCTCAACTTAATACCTTTTTTTAAACAAGTAGTAATAATAATACTAACAAAAATTGAACGGATAAATGAGGTAAGTGTAGTTATTTCAAAATTTTGGGTTTTTAAAACAAAAAGCGAATTAACAAAGTTGCACAAATAAAATGAAACATTAATATCTACTAACCAAAAACGTTTAAAACAAAACGCACAATTAAATAACGCAATTTCAATATGTCTAAACTTAATCTTACTAAACATGCAACATGCTTACACTTTAATCTGCTTTGTCTCCATTATATAATTTTGTTAGTTACCTCTTTTATCCACTCAAATCTTCAGTTAATAATTAATACTTCGTCAAACACACTCTCGAACTGATCTTGATTTGAAAAAGTTTAGGAAAAGGTGTATTAATGATAATGTTTCTGAGATTAAGTTAGGGTATTTATAATGATAATACAAAAGTTTTTTAAATTGAGAAACATATCTTGGAATTATATTAGACACTTTTAACTGTTTTATTTTTTATTAAATTACTTCAATGTTACATGTAGAAACCATTCATTCTATAACTAACTATTGATATGTGATGTATATAACAGATAACTGTTTGGTTGTTTGCCTAACTTTTGGTGTAATGCTACAGAATTCTTAATTCTCAGTTCAGTTTCAAACTAGTTTAATTTTACACCGACAGATGAAGCACTACATGCAAGAAAAGATTTAAAAATTTCAATAAAATCTTGTACAATAAATGTTGAAAAATAAAATGTCATTTTTAAAATATGCAGAGGGATATTTAAATTAAGTATGTAGTGTCTGCACCCATGAAACTAGGAGAATATATACTTGATAAAAGGAAATAAAACTAAACACTGAATCATAACTAATTTTAGTTTCACAAAGAATTTCTCCGGAAAAATCATGGTGAAAAAGAAAGTGCGCCTTCCGAGGTATTGGCAACACCGCTAGCGCCATCCAAGTCTATTTTCAGTTTGAACGTTCAAAGCATACGTTGGAACTTCACTTAGGGATAGACTATTCCTTTACAATTAAAAAGAGCCAGTGAGCAGTCAGTGGCAGTGGTAGTGTGGTGTCGTGAGATCGTGTAAAAACAAACTAAAGCATGTTAACAATTATTAATAATAATTATTAGTTGTTTTCTAAGAATTGTTTCCATATAACCGTCAACGGTTTGAAAAGTTTGTGGTTGACTCTTTGTTATGCTATTTTTCTCTTCTAAGACTTTTTGTGTCTGAGTTATTTTTCGAAGATCTTTTTATCTATTAGTGCCATGGATGAAAATGAAGCTGAAGTCAGGTCTCCCATCAAGAGACTGGGTTCCACAAGAAAATTGATTTTCGTTAACAGTAAGTGTGCATTTTTTTTAAACTTAAAAAACAGTAACATTTAAACATAAATCAGTTTTACAAAATATCTTAAATTATATGAGAAACATGATGTATTTTTCATTGTAGAAACACAATTTCCTAAGCTACTTGCTTACTTTTGTATTTTGAAAGTTACAGACATGAAAGGAAAAGTTAAAGTTTTGTGTCTTAAGTATTATTGTCTTTTTTCAATCATATGTTCTAATAATCTGACAGGTACGTATCCTAATAATGTTTGTCAATTTTACTATTTGCTGTTACTAGCTACTTGCATTCAATTTTTTTCTTTTTCCGAGATCATGTCATATAGGCGGTCCTCGTAGGGTAGATGTCGTCGGTTATCCCTGCACTCAAATAATCTTTTGTTCTTTTACATTGTAAACACACATTGTACGACCTAATAGTGACTGTTTTTTAGTACCTTCTATTCTATCATGTTCGAATTGTTCCAAGTCAGCTGTTTTTCAAATGTAGATTGGAAACAGTCTCTTAATATACCTAACACCTCTTCTCAGTAGCTCAGTTCTGTATCTAATCCATAGAGAATTATTTAGAAGCAGAAATGATTGAAATTCAACTACGGTACTACTGTAATAAGCCGGAACGATGTTTACGTAGAGGAAGTTTATATCAATGAATTTTGTTTCACTTACTAATGATTGTGCAATGATTTTAATTATATTAGCATACGAGTTACGTTTTCCGGTCAAGATCATGTTTTGCGAGGACATCATTTGCATTCTAAACTTCGTCTTTTGACTCTCGAATCGAAAGAATATAGTGACATCATGTCTCGATCGCTCGGATCGTGGATTTTTACCCATTTCTGTCTTCGGCTACTAGGCTACTATAGATTATCTCAAAAGAGACTAGTCTGACAGGGTAAATGTACAACATCGATGCCATACTTCTTTGCAAACTTTTATTAAAATAAACGTCACTTCTTATTACATAGCATCTTTTGTGTTAAGGGTAGCTTAAGTACTAATGCCCATTAACGACCCTGCCTGGCTTCCTTCTGTCAGTGGTTCTCAAACATAAAGACCCGTTTTCACGCTACGTCTTATTGTACGTTTTGTTATAGTTTATTTTTATGAACGAGAGAGTAATTAGCATAATTTTAAACTGGTATCTCCGACCACTCCATGGGCGTGCTCAAGATTAATTGAAAAATTACTTTGAATAATTGTAAAAAATAAATGAATTATTTCAGTGTTATAAAGTGTTATGTGTATGTAAACAAAAGTGACCTCTTTTATCACACACTATATTAGAACTGACTGGCCTACATTAAAAAGGGTTTTAAAAAATTCACATTTTTTTTAATTTTTAAAAATTACAAAAGAGAAAAAGAGTTTTTAAAACCGTCTAAGGTATGTTAAATAGATGAATAAAAATATTAATATAAAACTTACAGCTACTTGTTACAAATCCAAATCAGATTCAGAAGATGAACTTTCAGAACCAAGATTTATAATAACTGGCTCGATCATTTTATCAGTAATATTGTCCAGCTTCCACATTTTTTCCTCTTCTTTAATAGTGTGATTTACTGCCTTTTCCCAGTTTTCAGGTTTTACATTATTTACGGCCTCCAAAAACAACTGTTTAACATCATGAATTTTAAAAGTGGTATTTTTTCTTGAAACTTCACTCTTTATCTGTGCCCATACCAGTTCAATCGGGTTTAATTCACAATGATATGGTGGGGATCTAAGTACTGTCATTCCACGATTTTTGGCAATTTCATCAATTTCGTATTTTTTAAATTTTTCTTTATGAAGGGCACACAACGAATAAAGTTCCTTTCTTATAGATCCGGGATGGTACGTAATATTTTTTGAACTCAGCCAATTCTGCAAGTCTTTTTTTAACCACTTGGTTGTGGGCAGTCCTTCTATAAGTCTGGAGTGATAACTTGCATTATCCATTACTATTACACAGTTCTTAGGAAGAAGATCTATCATTTGTTCGAACCATTCTTGAAAGACATCAGCGTTCATGTCTTCATGGTAGTCACCGGTACGAGTTGATTCAAAAGTTAATAAACCACCTTCAACAAAACCGTCTGAACTGCCAATGTGTACTATTATCAGCCTGCGTCCCTTTCCTGATGGTGGGTTTAAACCAGTAGATAAGTTATTTACAAAAGCGTGCCTTTGACTTGTAACAGTTTCATCCTGCCAAAATTTATTTGGTGTATGACCCTCGTTGATCCATGTTTCATCAAGATAAAATATTTTTCTTTTTTGGTTTCTCATTTCCTTTATGGTTCTTAGAAAATGTCTTCTCCATATGACAATATCGCTTCTTTCTAATAAAATAGACTTTCTGGGATTCTTTTTCCAGCGGAAGCCTATTTCTTTTAAAAGTTTCCATAACGTACTTCGACTCATTTCTGGGTAATCCTTATCATCTCGAACTGAGACAAGAACTTTATCCAATGTTGGAAATTCTTGTCTAAAGAAGAATTCATGCACTTTCCGTCGAAGTCCTTCTTTAAAATGATATTCTATTTGAAATTTTGGTTTCCCTGGAGCATTACGTGGCATTTGAAAACTACCACATTTCTCTTCTTTAATAACTCTGTAAATCGTAGATTTCCCAACACCAAGTGTACTGCTAACTAACTCAACGGTCTCATCAACACTTTCACATAAACGTTTGTCTGTAAATGATTTAAAACAATTAAATATTAATGTTTTTTCATTAACTGTTAAAGGACCAATTTTTCGGCGTTTACACGGCACTTCCAAATTTTCCATAACACTAGTATACACAATAAACTGCACCTTGCAACTGAAGTACCTACTTTTAGTGAACTGTTAAGAATTTTGAATACGCCACTTGGACCTTCCTACAAAATGGAAAAACCCACTATCACATTTTCTGTGGAATAAGTTTAGAAGGTAATTATCTAGTCAATTACTGTCGTAGATTCCTGGAATTAAAGAATTAAATGTTTGATTGTTGAAACCCTTACTTCGTGGAATGCACTCATTTCAGATAAAATAAAACGTTTTATTTTATCTAAAGAATTAAACTTTATTTTGCAAATAGGTAGGTACTTATTAAACTTTTATTGGTTATATATAACCAATAAAATAAACATCTTACATTTCTTGCAAATTCATTAGTACCTGTTAACCTCAATCACTCCGACACTGGCAACCTTATTTAGGGATTAGTAACCCTCACAACTATTGTATTCTATTCTGCTCCAACCTTTATACCTGGTGGTCATACTCAATTTAAAATTGTTTTCCTATATACTTCTGTAAACTTGTTGACAAATATCTGTTTTTCATTGAGTCACCCTTATCAACAGTTTAGGGATTTGCATACATAATTTATTGTTTTATTACTCTCTTATACATAAAAATACACTATAGATAGGACAAATCCTATACAATAAAACGTGGCGTGTAAACAGCAAAACGTACGTCTTGTCGAATCGGAATGAAACCCAAATACATTGTGTGTATACACTGGACAAAACGTACGTTTTGTCGTACGTTTTATATGACCGACAAAACGTACAATAAGACGTAGCGTGAAAACGGGCCTTAATATTTGCTACAACATACTTGGGTTAAATTAAAATAAAATAAAAGTTAAGAAATGCCTTTTATTTATGGCACACAAGCAGTTTGTTTTTAATTCTACAGTATGTGCTGGTGAGACAAACCATTTGTTTATAGATTTAAATAAAATCGAATAAACTAAAACATAAAGAAACATTTTATTTATGTGTTGTTCCGTTCAAAAGTTAAGGGGCGAAGGACTTTTAAAAACCGCACTGTATATGTTGGCAGTTGGCAGTAACAAAACGTAGAAATATCCGAAAATAAAACTAATAAATAAGTTGAAAATAAAAGAAGTCATTGTATTTAATTTCGCGTGTAAGTAATCGTAATTGTACACCATTATATTTAGTTCCTTTTTCTGTCAATCGCTGTCACATTTAGTTTCTGCTTAACTATCAACATCATCATTATTATCATCACTGTCATCACTATCTCCGTTATTTATATTTATAATAATTGGTTCGATATCATTCAACAAATTTTCCACATTTTTTTTCTGTTGTTATTTCGTGGTTTACGTAGTTTTTCCATTTCTCTGGAGTAATGACCTGGTATGCTGCTCTAATTAAATTTCGCATTTCGTCTTCTTTAAAATTCGCGTTGCGTCCAGCTATATACCGTTTCACTTCACTACAAACCATTTCGATGGGAAGTTCACAGTGATAGGGTGGGAGCCTCAGAATCTTCACATTGTGCTTTTTGGCAATATCTTCTATTATGTACCTGTCATATTTTGCTTTGATGGCCTTGACTACATCAAGTAATTCGTATTTTACGTAGTCTTCTTAAAAAAATAGGTCCTTTGACACAAGCCATTCTTGAATATTTTTTTTAGTGTTAAACTGTTGGGAATTTGTTCTAATTTTCTGCTGTGATAGGAGGCATTGTTCATTACCACAACAGTTTTTTCTGGCAAATTTAGCATTTGTCTTTTGTTTAGCAAGTTATTTTCGAACCAATCTTCGAAGGTCGGTCCATCCATTTCGTCGTCGTAGTCCTGAGTATTTTTCTTTGCCAAAAACGTAAGCTCTGCTCCATCAACAAATCCACTGGTAGATTCTGCGTGCAATAAAATGAACCGTGCACCACGAGCTGTTGGAACTTTTTTAATCCTGTTGTCAGATCACGAACAAAAGCATAGCGATGAGACGTAATTGTTTTATCAACCCATTCTTTTTTCACACTGTGCCCGATATTTACCCATGATTCATCCAAATACACTATGTTGTATCCCTCTGCACGGTATTTACGAATTGCGGGTGAATAACGATGACGCCACGAGATGATTTCTGGTTTTTCAATCAAAATTGAATTTCTGCCACGTTTTATAAGCACAAAATCCATATCACTCAGCAAGCGATGTAGCGTGGCCCGTGAAAAGTTGGGCAAAGT